GCCTACCATCCTGCACTTTCGCTGTTCGACTCCCGCTAAGGGTGTTGATAAGACCGACGCGAGGTCGAAACTGCAGTCCACCCAGGATGAGAACAACTCTTGGGAAAGCAAGGCTATGTGCAATTCAATGGATAACGTCAGCTCAACTCATATCATTGTGGGAAAATTCTACTACCAGTCCTTCATCACCTTAGATGAAATAGGGTGAATACATCTCATATTACTGATTTACTGGTAGTCTCGAAACTCTACTCTAATACGAATATAGGTATATCCTTTCATCTTTAACAAAAAAATTGAGCATAATAGCAAATACACGATACTTAATAAGCACTAACTCCTCGCTGAATTGTGAGTTAGGAAGTGTCTGCTGTGTTATGATGGTCATTCTTGCCCAATAGCTTAATATGTTTAGGTTCATAAGCCTAATGGTTTCCCTGCTTGCTTCAGAATCCTTCTGCCCGTGGTGCCAATCGAGCTTATGATGCTAATAAGCTAATGAGTCATGGTCGAAAGTGCATTGTTGAGGATGCCAACTGCATTTGGGATACCAAAGCAATGCGTAATCATGCTTTCTTCTAAATACATTAGTTTATTAATGTTATACACCGGTGGCGATTCTTCCAAATTGTCATACTCCTGATTGGGCCATCTCTCTACAAACAAGCTGGATATTATCATATTCTGCTTGCGAATTATTTGGACTTGATGCTAAGATATTTTTAACTATATGGAATTTTGATATACACATTATTGTAGAGTAAAATTAAACTTCTGATTGATGCTTGAATAAAATAGTTTAATGCATATTAATGAAGGCTGCAATCCTTTCAGTTTTACTTTAGCTACAACTAAATTGATATTGAAATCATTGTGCCCCCGATTGATGGCGTTCTATCGCACTGTTTGGATAGTACTCAGCAAAGGGTTACATTCCACAATATCCTCGCAATTCAATCTTGGTTTTGATGAATATACTTAGTAAGGACAATTGATACTTAAGATTCACAAGACAAGTGTACATATAAATATACTTACTTTTTCTGGGCTTTCGTAAACATCGTGATTACGACTGTTTTGCCACCACAAGTCGGCCCAATTACCATAACGGAGTGGCGAGTTTTTAGAGTATCGCGAAGTTGGACAGCCTTTAAGATCTTAAATGGGAAAAATGAAGAAATATAATTTCGAAGATAAAAGAACTTAAAATAGATCATTAAAATATATCTGATTGAAGAGGTTTATGAGGAATAAATCAGATGCGTTAGTTAGTCAAATAACTACTGATCATTTAGGCCATCATACATTATGTAATGGGCGATATATAATGTCTCTTTTTAAATAGGCTGCCTATATAACGCTTAGTTTATATATTCTGATAACATTAAAGGTATTTTTTAATTGTTACTACTATTGCTTGTGCAAAGCCGGATCTTCCGTAATGAAATTGTCGCCAAACAGTCTCTATGTATTTTTCGTTCATAAGCAGGTTTTCGAGACTAATAGTAGTTTATATATAGGAGATGCATTCACCCTATTTCGTTTAAGGTGATAAGAAAGTTGAATTTTGCCACAATTTGATCCGTTGACCTTACGTTTCCATTTAATTTCACATAGGCTTGCGTTCCCTAAAGTTATTCTAATCCAGAGAAGACTGCAGCTTTGACCTCACCTAGGTTCCATCAAGTAGGACTGAAAGCATAATAGTGTGGTGTATACTCTCGATACGTTAACCACCCAGCCAGTCACACTACCATTATCAGTTTCTTTATCACCTCAAAATAATAAGGTTAGTGCCTCACAGATATATGAAAACTCATCTACCTGGTCCTGCACAATTGTGTAACCGTGAGAAAGCATTGATGTTGAGATAGCAGAGACTAGACGGGAGTCTAGTTGTGTCAATTCCTGTTCAACTCCCGGGAAAAGATCCGTGATGAGACCTGAAAAAAGTGGAATATCATCGACGACAAGTTTAGGTAGGTTGATCTGGCGCAGGGCGCGCATCAACAACTGATCCTCGCGAAGATCGGGTTCCGCCCTTCGGAGTACACCTGCCACCATTAGTACGGATCGCAGGGCACGCAATCCGAAGTCATAGTGAAACTGGTGCGATAACTGTTCCTTAGCCAGACGATATATAGTTGTCATTTTTTTGGACAATTCCTAAGTGATTTAAGTAATAAATAAATAATTAACATATATCTCATTGAAGAGGTTTACGAGTAATAAAGCAAGTGCATAAGTTGACGAATAAGTTGTATATATATAATAGATAAAAAACATCAAAATATGAAGGCGAAGCAACTAATAGTCTGTTATTAGGCTTTTTGCCTAAGTAACAGAAACTGAAGCACAAAATATTTATCAAACAAAATCGACTCAACCTTGTATACCAGTCCAGGAGAGAATACACACTTGACCTCATCTAGGTCACGTCTTAGGATTTTTAAAATAAAATATTTCAAGGAGGAGATTACTTATACACAGACCTCATGTTTCGAGTGCAATTCAAAGAAAATTCAGTGATCCAGAAAATAGTGATCTATAGCTGGAAAAAAACATCAAAATAAAATGCTAGGAATTATCATTTACCCAAAATATGTATTCGGGCTGGCATTCAGTGCCGTTATGCAGTCGCGCATATTTTAAACTTATCTGGACCTGCACATTCTGGATTTAGTCCTGCTTAAGATATTTACAAAAAATATGTAACATCACAACTGCATTCTGCCCTAAATAAGGGAGAGCATGGGCTATTGACGCCATATAAATGAAATTGGAATATTGCGCAAATATTAAATTGATTAATAGATGAAAATAATCAAAAAGCATAAGGAATGCAAAGACACTTTAATAAAGATGGATGGATTACATCATAACGCTAAACTAGAGTAAACTCAAAACAACGTTTTTATCACTGAATCAATCCAAGTAGTTATTCGTCAAAAGGTAATTCTACATGCTACTATACAATAGGTCATTTTGCAACGAGATCCGAAGTCTAGATTGTATCCATAGTTCGGCATACGTATACCAAATAAAATATCTAACTAATAATAAGATTACAAGTTGAATAGGAAATTCAAAAGCTAAAATTGCATAAGATAATGTGACATGTGAAGGCAATCAACTTGACTTCAACCGTGGTGACACGGGATCCTCGCCCCTATTTTTTGTCCTAGTCTCTAGTGCTGTATTTCTTTCATATGTTCCATTTACCTATTCACACCATTCTTGTTCTCGTTTCCTCCAGTATACATTTAGAGGAGGCCACTTCATGTGGGTTTAGTGAAACGTAATCACCTTCACCACCGTTTTCAGATGCCGTTTGTAGGGCTTCTGACTTTCTAGTGTTGGTTCGACCTTGTTTTCGCAAATTGGTTAGCTCGTCAGGAAGACCCTGTGGAACAAGATTTGTCCCTTTGAAAAGTTGTAATTCTGTGCTTACGATGGCGCCTCTCACAGATGATGCCGGCGAAACGCTTGGGAATGTACCCAGCCAATGATCTAATGCAGGAAATCACTGATATTATGCCAGAAGCCATGGGACTAGGTACGTTCCACAAGGTCTCCCTGACGCTCCGACCAAGTTGCGAAAACAAGGTCGAGCCAACACTATAAAGCTAAAGGAGACTGCGGTCAAACAGAAAGCCACACCATCTTGGTCTTCATATCTACTTCTTACTTCCATTTAGACTCCCTTCGTCCCCACTTGACAATTGTACCTTGCTCCACATGAAAATCACTATTTGCCTATTTAAAATCAGCCTACCTATGAAACTTCAATTCCCGTTCCAGTTTACGTCATTTTCTAGCATTTAAAGCAAGTGACTCCCATGCCTAGGCTTCAGACTCATGATCCAGACATACTCTTTCTTATCCCCACCCTCATTGTATCTCACTCTTTAAGACACTGTGTACAGCCTAATTTGGAACCGCTTGTGTGAAAATGTACTGCTTCCTTTTCCCACTCCTGAATAGCGTAAAGCACTCTTTTCTTGTCTCTCAAGTTGACAGTCATATTTAATACTAAATCTGTAATTGGTGATGATGCTTATATGCTTCACTAAATCCACTTGTAGCGACACAATCAAAGGTGAGATTAGACCAAAGGGAGCACAGAACCTTGTGAATAGGTAAATAGGCCATATGATGGGGGGTTGAGAGAAGGAGATGCATTACTAGGAGAAAAACAGCGACGAAGAGTGAGTGGTTGAAGACAAAATTGGTTAAGGGTATTGATTTACACAAATTACTTTTATAAGTTTTAAGTGTGTGCTGACACTAGCGTCTCAGTGACGATACCGATGATGGTGCTGCCGAAACGTTTGAGAATGTGCAAAGTCACTTGTCCATTAAAGTAGACTGCGACGTAATAGAGTGCAACGGTATGTCGATCGTCATATCTACTATTAAGGTATTATAGGGGAGATCTTCATTTCGTACTAAAGTTAATGAAGAAGAGATTCGTAGGTTAATTTCACCAGAAGATGACGGCTGAATCCCAAGCTAACACTAATATATGAGCTGTGTTCACCCAACTTTTTGAGGTGATGAAGGACTAGAGCTGAATATTTTCCACTATGATATGAGTAAGCATGACGTTTTTATTGAATTTCACGTAGCCAAACTTA